AATACTAACTTCTAATTACATGTTGGCTTGACATTTCGTATGGAATTAAATTTTAAGGTTGTTTTCTTGAGAAAATTAGTAATGGATAACTTGCCATTGTCGCCTATTACCATCAAAGCTGGTATTTAATATAATAATTTAAAATCATCTCAGGGGCCACTGGAAATGGTCTCACGGGCCAGATCTGGCCCCCAGGCCTTGACTTTGAAACCTATGCCCAAATGCTAACCTGCCTGAATATTTTTGTGTGGAGTTTGCAAGTTTTCCCAGCTCCAGTAGTTCAGACCAAGCTGAGCAACTACATATGGATGGGTTAGCACTGTAGTCCACTGCTCCTGACAGGATGACCAAAGTGGCATTGCAGGGCGGGTGAAATGCAGAAGACAAATATCTCTATAGGGCAATACATTACTGCATGATAAACTACATTCTGCTGTTTGAACCTGAATAAGGAAATTTTTATAAGAATAAATCAACAAATAACAATTTTAAACCTAGAACGACTTTAGAGTAGTCATAATAACATCATAAATAGATTGACAGTATAGTTAAACATTGTCCATGGAATATAATAGTGTAATGGGATGTAATAGTTCTTAATTTATGTCTATGTATTCATTCTGCATATTTCACAGCTTTGAACAAATATAGACACACATCCCACACCTTCACCTTGCAGGTTATTACTTCCATCTATGTATGTATACTCGAGTGAAAGCATCAGCAAACTCTAAACTTGCATAAAAAACATGGCCTTTTTTGAGTTAAGCCAATTTATTCCCAAACTTGTATTTCTGCTTGTTTATTCAAATCAATAGGTCATGAATGAATAGAGTGGAGCGGGTGCTTGTTAGACTAATCAAACGTCATTGTGATGATATATCTTCTCTCAGATGACTTTGTTGCTCTGCCACCTCAAAGCAACACCGTCTCTTGATGCTATTTCCAGCCTTTCCCAGGTTAGGGCCACTTATTTAATTTTAATGAAGTCCCAACGGCGTGTAGTGTAAATAAACAGCACTGCCGACTGAAGCAGGATTGGAGTTGTTTTATGAGCTCTCCTTTTTTGATTAGGTGCACTCTGGGTGTATTTTGGCTAATATTTAACATGCAAATGAGAGATGCACTTGTAGTCGTTTTTTGGCAGGATATTTGTGTACTTGTTCAATTACCCCACAGTTTTGGCTGCAAAAACTTTTTTGTTGCAAATGTCCCAATGAATTTGAGAGTGGAAAACAGTGGGGAAAACATGGCATTTCCAAGAGGGGGTATTTGGGCTATATGTAAAATTACAATGAGTTCAAAAAACAAGACCTAGGCTAAGTAGAAAAACCACTTGTTTGACTTTTTCTGCTTGTTTTGAAACTTATATTGCAGATGCAGACCTCCCATATGCCACTTTATGCATAATCCAACAGAACAATATACAGTAGTCGAGTGCTGTCTTACTCTCTGTGAAGGCCAACTTTTCTCTAACATACATGCTGTTAATGGGACAAAGGGACTAAATGTGGAGCTACTCGATTCATACCTTATCAATCTCAACATTTCATATGGACCTTATGTTTGATGAAGAGCCACGGGCAGATTGTTTAATCATAACAAATTGGGTTATGTCCCCTTTAAACAACATCCACTTGGACCACTTTTTTATTATGGCCTCAATCCAAACAAATGCATCACTATACATCGAGATAAAGACATTATCAGCCTCCTGAGCCTGTTTGAATGATTTTCTTTTTAATTCCGTCAGTTCCAATTTGCATCGACCATACACTTCAAATCAGTTACATTGGCTTTTGCCTTTAGGAACAATTAGCTGAAGTGACATGCTGAAATTAGCATTAGCCTTCTTACTTCGGGAATTTCGAAGCACAGTATTGATAATCAATGAGACAAATAACCCCACTTTGCCTGACGCCCCCGCTGAAAGATCAAGACTCCTGATCAGTGAGGCACTGGTGCTCTGTGAATTGAGTGCAGCTCCAACTACCACTCCCCGACCCAGAAATGAATTAAGGGGAAGAAAATGGATGGACAAATATTGATTTCAACATGTTAGACCTTTAGAGTATATTTGTATAATCACTATTAGTCAAATTAGCACTTACATTTATGTTAAAAACACTCCTATGTCAAGCTGTCTTTAATCAGGTACAACTCTAGACTGTAAATAATAAAGGATGTAGTCACGCCTATCTCCGCCATTGAAACTAATGTGTCACCACTTTTGCCTTCTGTGGGTTTTTTTCAAAATGGCCGCAGTGCACAACAATGTGAAAAATGCATTTTGTGTTCGCCGGCGCAAGCCGCATTCATTAAACAAGTGCATTCTACAGTCCACAGAAGCTAAACTAGACTGGTCCAAAAAAAAATAATACCCTCAACATTGGCAGCATCTGGAACATAGCGTTGAGCCAAGAGCGACTTTTGGACCATCCTGTAAAGCCGTTTTTGTGAGGAAAGAAGACGGCACAATAAAAAGGTTTGATTTATTCTCTTTCTGGGTACACCCCCACTGGCTAGTAGTGGGATTGCAAGCATGTCAGTGCACGTGCTCATGGACCTTTTGGAGCTGGGATCCGCCCCCACTGGGTAGAACGTGTCTCCTGGGTTCCTGACAGCTCTGGGCATCTGCTTTAACATACTTAGTTGTAATGGAAAGAGTGTAAAGGTATAATCAGCAGTAGCAAAGTCAACAATGTGATGAATATTGAGCGTTGGAAACTGAGGAGAATGCACTCAATTATTACTGAATATAAAACAGCTAAATTAAGCCTGTAAAGACACTTGCCGAGTGCAGAACTTGCACTGTCAAATGGAACGATGAAAGCTTCATGAAGATCCTGTGTTGCCACAAACATGAAAGCGGGCAGACCCTCATATGGCAGTTCTGACGCCTTGCTACCGCTGCCTAATGAGTCACATGGGAATACACGCTCAATCTGTGTACCACCACCAACAAACTTTCACTCCCAGCTCTATTTTTTTTCTCCTTCTCTCCGCTCTGAGCTCCCCACGGCCAGACTTATCAATAATGGACACGGCGCAATGACGGAGCCCGATTCTGTCACCTCTCATCCCCCCCGCAGCTGGCAGCCATGACACCTCCCCAGCAGAGATTAGACTGGCCTGCAATATACATGAAGGCGCCTATATTATTCAGCCAAGCTACGGAAGAGCCTCAAAGATGCTGGTGGAAAAGGAGAGATCACTCTGGAGGGTTGGGATGAGTTTGTGTTGTATGTGCAGACTGGCAGTGTCACAGATTGGAAGAGTGGGTGTGTAAGAAGTGATTAACTATACAGTATAAGAATAAGACTTTTCTTATGAGCTTTTTCTTGAGTCTAAATTTTGACTCGGTGTTAAATCCTGGGCTAGATTCAAGATTCAGTTCCAGATTTTGATGTGCGAAGCCAATTTTGATGTGCTAAGTGTGAATATTTGATTCAACAGGAAAAGGATTTGCGAAAAAAAGTTAGTGCCAAAGCAGAGTGAAAAATAGGTCATAAAACGTCTGATGACAATACAGTGTCAAATGAAATCATCATATCCTTGCAAAAAGGAAATCGGATCTATTATGTATGACACCAACCCAATCTCACTTTCTGTTTTAATAGTGCAATCTCTCCTTTGGTTGTGTACTAAAAACAATACATTTTAAGACAATGACTTATTAGTTCATTAGACTAGATGCTGAGTTTCCAGTGTCTTTGTAATTTGTGAGGACCCATGATAAAAGAGACTTCCACACATTTTGATGCATCCAGTCTAACCTCTTTTTGCACTCACATAATCCTCACCCAAATCCTCCTCTACCACCATGTTTCGTCAGTGTTGCGTCTACTCTCACTTCTGACTGGATAGAGGGATATACTTGAAGATTTCAGACTTGTCACAATATCCACTGGCTTAAGAAATACACAGTTGCCGGGCTTCAGACTGTGAGGTGTTCAAAATATACTATGGAAGTGGTCCATCCATGTTCACCTTGACAAGAGTGAGCCGTGTGCTTTTCACAGCTGCAACACTCTGGTCTCTAAATAATAAGAACTAAATCAGAGAGATGTCATTGCAATGGATCAAACAAGGCCAGGACAGGCATATTCATCTATACATGAATAAGGTCAAGTGTAAATGGCATACATTTAGAACGGTTAGAAAAAAGTATATAAAATAGACAAGTAAGTGAGTAAAACTGTATAATCCCACAATTGTCTAGGAGTTATCTATGAAATTTCCAAAAGTTGTCATCTGGAAGTTTTTTGAAAAATTTTGACTCCAATTCAGAGGTAGGAACAAGTTATGAATTATCTACCCTAGTGTGACAAGTTATGACATTCACTGACATTCAATTTATTTAGTATAGCCCTAATCCACAACAGCTGCAGTGCAAAATTATTAATATGTCAACAGCAGATTAAAGAATCAAACAATCAAGGAATCAGGAAACACAAATAATAAAACAAACTCTTCGGGGCCGATGGTATGCTCTCCTTTGGTGGGAGCTAAAGAGGCGAATTGTTCAAAAATATGTTTCAAAAGATGTAAACTGAATTGACAACAGTTCACTTTCCTTTTGGTTATACATCCACAATTGAAGCATTTTTTGCTCGAAATAAATTGGTCCAGTTCAAGTGAACCAGACCAAGCGTGTCTATGACAAAATGTGATCCAACAGCAAAATTGAAAATCTGTTGGACTTAGAATGAGTAAATTGGAATGTTGACGTTTTACTTGGCCATGTAATCTATTGCAACCGTTACGGAAGGTCTTATGCTCTCTGAAAAGTGCTTTCAAATCCAATCATAGTTTATTATTATTATAAACAGTCACAACCATTCCTTTGGACATTTTGTGCTTTGATGTCTCGAGCATCTTGTTAGCTGTATCAAAACTCCACAGGGGTCACACTGGTATTTTTGATGCTATTTTTATTTTTATTTTTCACACACAACATGTTACACTGCCACACACAGACAAAAATTAGCTGCTAAGTGCTAGTGGATGGATGTGAGAATGCCTCTCAGCCAAGTAAGTATACCACACCACTTCAGAGCATCATTGCCTCCGCCCCCCAGCCAGAGACCACCGTTTGACCGGATTGCAACATTTCGTCTCTGTCCCGCTGGGAGGAGCTGCAGTTTCCTCTGGTTCTCTTCAAAGCACTGGAAAAGTGGCTTCAAACCGGCCTTGGCAGTGCGTGGAGAGAAAGTGGGGGTGATTCCTGGAGGTAGTCCAATAACACACTGGCAGATGGCGTCGGGCTGAGACTCGGAGAAAACCTGGGGAGGGCTTTGGAAGTAGAAAGCCAGGAAGAGCTCCGGAGTGCTGAGCTGGTCCGCACTGGGCAAAAGAGGAGCGGATTGTTCCATATGCTCATCATCTTTCTGCCTAATCACAATGAGGTGCCCACGGACCCATCGTTTGTACGTTGACAGTGCAGCCGCAGGGGACCGTGCGCAAGGGCTGAGCAATACTGCGCTCAAAGGCGTGTTGAATAGTGTTTAAAGAGAGATGAGGAGCCAAGCAGGAGTTTGCCAGTCGGGTTCTGAGTGGGACCATATGGGATGAGAGGAAGTGCGATGGGGTTGTTGCGGATCGTTCCAAAGTATCTATATATACACATTTTAAAAAGAGCTAATTCAGTATACAAGCAGAATGTGTACTTCCAATATTTAAAAGCTGCGGTACGTAACTTTCAAACCACAAAAATAAGTAAATAATCGGTTAAACTAGTTCCTTTGTTCAATCAAAAGTAATCACATGCATCTATTTTTGGCCTTGGTTGCATCTTTAGATCAGACGGTAAAGTGATAAAGAGAGGTCTACCCTCACTGAACCAATCAGTTCTCAACAAAAAGTGACTCAGAGGGCTATTAGTTCTTTCAAGTATGCAAAAAATAATCTCTTTCAGATGAAGACAGCAATGTTGACATTACATAATGCATTGATATGGGATCATCCTTCAACATTCAAGGGCACTATATGCTTGTTTTGATCCTTTCACAGATGTCTCCACTGAAGATTGATTGCAGTTGGAAGTAGGTATCGTCCTCCCCCAAAAGGATATCGATTATTATTGATGTGGGAGGCTGAGAAAAGGTGCATTACGCATTGAGCCAATCACACAGAGGAGATGAACGCTGCTCGCTCCTTTGGGGGCCGCCCCGGACCGTTCCATGTGCTTCCTGATCATATCTGCCTCCACCCAGTCTGCACAGCACCACCACCCCCGAGCCACAGCTGTTCCATCGCACCCCCTCTTCTATCCCGGGCTCCGTCTGATCAATAGCCCTGACCCATCGATCGATACAGCCACAAATCACTCCATTTTCTCCCACTCTGCCCTCGCTCCCCGCAGCCACACGAACGGGAAATAATACTGTGAAGGATTGGGGCTGTCACTGCATGAAGTCACTGCACTTTGAGAAAGCTCCAAAAGACGCAAAATGGGCAATATAAAGTGAGAAAAAGTAAGGACTACTGTCATTTGCTGCAAATATTCAAATTATAATCTAATTACTTTTCCCAGGATTCCCCATGTGCAGTAAATGCATATTAGTTATCATTCATCAACCCATTGCCCCTCATCAAATATTAATTGCGGCTCATACACGATGATATATCTGCAGCACATGTAGTTGTAAGAATAGTTTTTCAGCATAAGGCTTGTTACGTTTTTCACGCTAATATTGCAATCCAGATGCAAGGCTTACTTTGAACAAACAAATCAGGTAATGTTCTATTTAAATCAGCACAAGTCTAAAATGGTTGCAATATATTCTCGTACAGTCTGAATGTCAAAAGGTATTTGATACCCATACATTATCCTGTCTAACACTTTCTTCTATCACAGCCATGAAAGGTGAGCGTAGCATAAATGATTGCATTGTTCTCAGGAAATCAAACCATTGTGTCAGCTGCCAATCCATCAGCCTTGCCTTCGCCTAAGTACCTGTGGTCCCAGGAGAAAGCCATAAGAAGCACATAATGTGCACAGAGGGACTGAATGGTTAAATGTATGGGGAAAAGGGTAAAAAGAAGCCAGCCCAAATTTATGGCTACTGTATATTGTTCGCACCGCTGGCCCCAGCATCAGTATTATGGCATCGTGAGCACCAGCCATGTGGCGCGCTGGAATTAATTGTCGATGACGCAAAAGTAGCAAAAGTGCCACGCTCTTGCACTTTTCATTACTGCGCCATGGGTCTTTGTGTGGAGCATTGTGATATTTTCTCACCCAGAGGAGAAGGAGGAGAGTTTGAATGCTGAAATAACAATAAAACATGGAGGATGCGTAGGAGTTTTAGGACATTACCTAAGGCTGTTTAGCTTCTTATGCCAGGTGATAGTTTAAAGTCAAACAGAACTCTGGCAATGTCTAACTAAGGACTGAGATCAGTTCAAAGAGTAAAGAAATGTAATTGAGATAGCTGCTTAAGTTTTGTAAAAGTAATACTCATTTGGAAGTGAAAATTTGATTCTTAATGACTTAGTACGAATTTGCAAAGACAGAAAATGTGCATTCTACAATGCACATAAATAAATGCCCACATACTGTTATTTTCAAATAACAAGATAAGATAAGTCTCACAGTGGAGAAATTTCAGTGTCATCGTTGCGCACATTACAGCAGAGAGAGGAAATCAGAGCACTCAGATTGCACACATCAAATAAGTTTATTATTTAAGGTAATAGACAGTAAAATTAAGATACAATTTTTTTTCTAATGTCTATTACCTTAATATCTGCATGCACACCTGCAGGTGAAAGCCTCAACTCAAGAGTCTGGGCATGGAAGGGCCTAGTTATTACTGTGATGGGAGACCTCACAGTACTACATGAACAGTTATATAAAAATATCATACTAAAGTAGTAAAAATGTGTCTGAAAATGACAGGAACATGTCGATTCTCATTGTATACTCCATACATCAAGTGAAGCCACACCATATGAGAACAACTAATTAGACGGACAGCAGAACAAAAAATAATGTTGTCCTGTACCGCTTCACTATAATTTACTACTCCTGCTTAAACAATAGTACCATACATTTCTCTTTCAATATGTAAACAAGCGGAGAAAAAACAGCGGCGGAAGAATGGAGGGGGAGGGATAAGTAGTACACTTAGGAGAGTGTTTAGCTCTTTCCTCTTCATTTGTCTTCATTCCCTCTCTTCACAACACTCAGCCATCCCATCCTGACCGAGCACACCCAACAGCTGCAGCACCAACACATATTTTCTAAGCTCTAAAAACATGTTTATTTAAATCACAAAACAGCCACCAACTGAAGACATGTATTATCATCAGGCTGTATACAGTGTGCACGCCTACAAAAGTATGAAGCATGGAGGTTTGAAAATGATCTATCGTAGGCTTTAATTCCACAAATAAAAAAACGACTGCCATATTTTATTTGTTTATAATGGAATGTTGGCAGTGCCATGTAATTATGCTCCATTTTCCAGTAATGGGAGTCATATTCATTATGCAAGACTTCATTTCTCTCTGGTGGATAGAACACTGCAAATGGTCATGCTTTTTGGTAAATGTAGAGATATTAGGAAAAAACAAGTATGTATTTTACAGTATGTGGGTAGAGATCTGTCCAAAAGGGGAGAGTAACAATCAGAAATAGCACAGGTTACAAACGGCGACGTATGGAGGCGATCTGTAATATGAATATGTACAATCTAAATGCAAACACTCTGTAATATCATAAACTGTATACTGTGCAAAACATTAACAACTACCTTCATCACGTAGAAAGAGAAAGTGGTGGCTGTTTGCTGGGGTCAAAAAACAAAACATCTTCATTCTAACTTCATTCCTTCTGTATCCAAGTAAAGCTGAACATACACTGTGCAAATTTTGGGATGATTTTTCCACAGATTTATGTTGATTTCTGTGTCTCTACTCATACAGTACATGGAGTTGCAAGCTGCGATAACCTCATGATGAACTCGCAACGGCTGATGATGTGATCCCAGGGATATCTGTATATTTGTTGTGAGTCGTTGGCACCGTCAAAGCTCTGAGAAATCCAAGGGGACAGAAAACTCTTACTATCTTACAGAGGATAGTAAACACTGCACAGAGGGACAGGAGCAGGACTGGAGGCTCAGGGAAGTCTGTGGTATGGGCCGTTTATGTGTTACTCTGACGTTAAATAAAGGTAACCCAATTGATTGGCTTGCTAATGTGCACGCTTTCCTTATGTGCTAGTAACTCAATTTGGTCTAAATATTGCAAAAAATGTGTATGCCCAGCAATGTTATAGCTAACACTATTTGGCTTCTCTACTCCCCCATGGAGTGTGAAAGCATTTTTCTTGGCTTTGAATTGGCATGTTGTTAGGAGTAGTAGTTTCATCGGCACCCCCTACATTGAGGGGGTGGCGATGAAAGCCGGAGGCTGAGTGGATAGCAGTCAGTGGATAGCGGAGTGTGCATGTTCTCCCCACGTCTGCATAGGTTTCCTGCGGGTGCTCTGGTTTCCTCTACCAGCTTTCATGGGCGCTGTTACTACGGTGGCCACTGCTACTAACGAAGCCTTAGTGGCATCCGAATGGGTCAAATGCAGAGGAAAGATTTCCCTAGGCGGAAAAAAATATTATTATTATTCTTTATGTGTGTATGCATTAAATAGCATTGGTCATTTTGCACACGTTTGAACACGTCGACTTGTTCCAGTGAAAGTAATGGGTCATACATTCAACATGATTTCCGTTATGAATGAGAGGACTTGGGGCGTTTCTGAGAATGTAACTCCAGAAGTCATTCTCTGGAGTCTCAGTCTAACAATTGTTGTGACAGCAGGGCATCACAGTAACCCATGGCGACAGGGGCAACTGCTAAATGGTTACAGCCCAGGGCAAAGCATACATTCATACCAATACTCACCAACACATCTCTGGTGTTTCCTGGGACATGCCAATGGATGCGCTTATCGAATTACACCACATTCCGCACCCAATATGCTGCTCTATAATAGGACATGCTTTAACACCCCATCTAACCTACACACATACTAAACCAGGCATTAACCAACCGTACAGGCAGATGGGGATGGGATGGGTGCGATGCCGACACGGAATCTCATTCATTAGTATTCAGGGCTGCAGAGACATCCTCAATCAAATAAAGGATGAAGTCATAGGAGCATATCCACAGTTTCCATTAGAGTGGTGTGGGTCAAGTCAATGTGGATACACGATTGCACATTCTACTCAAAATAGTGAAAGCCTTTTTTAAATGATCAGAATGGGATGCATGGGAAATAAAGGCAAGAGGTTTCTTATTTTTCAACTTGGCAGGTTAACAAAGATGCAGTGTTAGTTAACTCGGTGTTCCCCAACCTTTTGAGTGATGGCACACCTTTTTTTTTGGTTGGAAATAATCACATGGCACACCACCAGATGAAATGCTAGAGAAGCTTTTGTTAAATAAGGAATAGTTCACCTCTGTACATCAGAGTGGCTCCTTTTATTGTAGACTTTTAAATCGAGTCTAAAGAAAACATTTTACGCCTTGACTTTAAACAACAAATGAGTTTTACCGTTTTAAATTTGTGGGTATGTACTTTGGTTTTCTTTTATTTTTTCTTTTGTGTATGTGAAACACTTTGGGTTCATGTTTACGAATAAAGTTGGCATTGACCTTGACATTGAATATGCAAAGTCTATTAGCTAGAAAGTGTATTAGCCAGAAAATTGTACAAGCGCAAAAAAAAGTCTGGCTAATTCTATTTTTCTGTCACATTATTTTGGCATATTATTTCCAAAGGCTCACTAGACAGCATCTCAGGGCAAACTGGTAGATGCTCTAAGTAGATGCAGTGTATGTTGATGCTGTGTCTCCAATAAATAGGTGTAGGTGAGCAAAACTGATTCATATACAATAATATTTGGTAGGTCTACTAAAGCATTATTCCTGGGACTGCAAAACTCTCTTTCTTCCTGCCACTACAGTGCCTTAATTCAAAAACAATAACCTTTTCTAACCCACAGTACACCACTTCCTGAGAAACATACTCAGTATCATGCATCTATTGAATAAATGCATCTATTATCTCCATAATGTACCTTCATATTTCAAATTTACAAGTGAATATAATTGAGTGTGACACTGCTGATCTATGTGGATATGGCTGTAATAAATGTGCTGTTAAAATGGGGGGTTGGTGTGCAATTGTACGGGGACAGAGAAAAGAAAATCCCTTCTAAATTGGACAGGAATAACCCATCTGCATACCGCCTTGCGTGACACCAATTTCCCACTGCTTTGCTTTATTCAGCTTTTACAAGAATGAAACCCAGAACACAACGAGGACGCAACATGCCTTTAGTCCAAGTCCATTATGTAAATTCACATTTGGAGATTTAGTCTGGTCAAAGGCAGGGGGAGAATGTGTGCTTTCTAATAATGAAGCATCTCTTGGAGTCGCAGGACCAACGCAGAAGAGCCTGGGAGACTTTGGCTAATGATATCATTAAAGACACTGATAATGCCTGTGTGCGCACTACGCAGCTAATGTAATAAGCTCCATTGTGCTTTGTGATGATGCCCCGAGCCGCGGTGTACCTTTAGAGCTTGGGAAATATTTCAGATTCAGGCCGTCAAAGACTACAAAAGACAAGTCTAGTGAATAGACATTAGTCAACATTCAAATCATGTTTCAAGGAGGCTGGGGTTATGTAGATGATGCTATCAAGAATGCAAAAGGGTGAACTATACAGTGATATCATGGTAAAAAACACCAAGATATCTCGGATTAGATTTATGACAAGCAACCCTCCTCGGCTAGATTTCACAAAATAGAGTATTGCTTAACCAAATATGGATGCACATGTGACCTCTCAAGTTATCTCCTCAGACGTGCACTGGGTGCACTTCATTCATCTAAATGTGAGATTGTATGAATGACCCATTGCTTTCACTGGCATCTGTGGCATTGTGCTCAAAATTGTGCTGATAAATTAGCACTCCAACTATTTACGGCTATTCAAAATATCAAGAGTGACTGTTGGAGGCGAACAGAAATCCATACTAGCAATTCTAATAAAAAAAGGAGCAAACTGAAAACAGTGGATGGGGTGTCAAAGGAACCACGGCAGCTAGAATATGCCAATCCAAAAATCATTTGAAATAATTTTTTTTTACATGAGTAAAGTTTAGTGATGCTCTCACACATAGAAAAAGTAGACTTTTGGTTACACTGGGTGTTAACATAAATATTCATTTATATTCCAGGCAGGTTCATGTGTGCTATTTGGCCATAACATTGATCATTAACATCACAAAGGTCAAGGTTGAAACCGTAACAAGTACAATCTATTGAAGTGATGCATTCAGAGTCTTTTGGACTCCCCTCAAATTTCTCTACAACTTGGAGCAATACAATCACTTTTTCAATTGTTAAAAAATAATCATCATTACTTTTCCAGCATCATATTGTGGTATTTTTGGTCATTTTTATCATATCATGGAATTTCTAATCATCTCATGCCTATTTACTGGGAATTCTGTTATCATTCAATCGCTCATTCTGTCTGCGTTCTTTGTTACTGTCGATTCACTCTGGCAACCCAAACCATTACGCATTGTCCAAAAGTCTAATGAAAACACATACAATTGAGCTACCGTTTGCAAGTTTCCAGAGCCAGAGAAAAGCATGCGTGTTCCAATTTTCTAAAGTCGTAGCAGTGTGACATATTATTTAGTTATGCATGAGGTTTTCAGTTTGCGGAGGTAAGGTTAGGAAAGGCAACTGTTTTTCATTCTAGCGTTCCCTTTTCTCTACCCGCAACTAATTTCTGCCCATTTCCAATCACAGTCAGAGGTCGTGCACTTCCGTTCGACAATTTTTCCTTCTTTGTGTTTATTGTTCTAAATTGACCATGGGGGCCACCGTAGTTGAACTTCTGAAGTGCTGTAATTTACTCGAGCTATGGCGCTTGCTATGGAATGGAGGAAAAAAAAAAGTTGTTTCATTTAGAATGTAGACAGGAAGCAAATGGGTGTATTTGGCCTGTGCCAGTGTTAATCTCAGAGGTCAATGTGGTACAATGCGGCAGCCTGACAGTTTTGCAAGCTAATACTTACGTCCTATATTGTGAATCGCTAACGTGTGGTGTCTTTTCTTTGCTTGGGTGTAGCCGCAAGACACATTTCTGGACTTGAATCATACCATTGGTTAGCAAGGATTGGCAGTGACTGTGTCTTCCCACGCGTATACAATAAATAAAAATAAGTTGGAGTGTTGGAGGAGAAAAAAAATTCCTCTCATTCCAAAACAATATGGTTAAAGATAAACTCGGAATTGCTCAAAGCACAGATGTGGATTTGTGCAAGTGCTGGTAAACAAACTTAAGAAATTAAACTTTATGATCCCACCGGGCAGAGGGACATGTCTAGAGAGGAGGCGTGCAGTTAAAACGTAGAGGAAGTAATACATGTGAATATAAAAGAGATAAACACATGCACAAGGGCCGTAACTTATTTCCCATGGCGACAGTGTGGTGCTGAACTAAAATACATTCAGAATACAAGAGGAGATATACAAAACTTTATTACAAGCAAGAGAAAATATGCAAAAGTAATAGTAGTAGTAATTGAATATACCAACAAAATGCCTTAGTAGCTAATTTTCAGAACACATTTATATGAAAAGTACGAAAATGTTTTGAAAGCTAGTTTTTAGAGTTAGTGTTTTTGGCCTCTGTAACATCTGTAGATAATCTTTCTGAGACAGAAATGTGAAAAAGAAAGGACCACTTTTGCTCACTCAGCCAGCTCTCAGCCCACTGCAGCAAATACTAAGCAAGAGATAAGTTTGTTTTCTCCAAAGACAAAGAAAATACAGTAGGTTGTTTTCTCATTTGCAACATATAAATTGTACAAGCTATTTCAAAAAAACATTAACGTAACTTTTATTTTACCCTTTATTTATTTAAATCCCATTGAGATGAAAAACATTTTATTCAAAGGAGTCCTGGACAAGAGGCAGCAAAGTTTACAGCCAAATAACTGATTATAAAAACAGTTCTTACTATAAGGTCCCTACAAAATGTATTATACATGATTAGAAAAGCTAGGCACACCATCTTGAAGGACATGTATGGAGGATGCTTAAGTGAGATTAGTTGGCAAATGTCCAATCTTCCCAAGCAAATCTGTGAAACCACTGGCAACACCTGTGTCCCATGAAAGCCGAGCAGTAAAACATGGACGTCATTGTGTATTGCCGTAATTACGCTGTTGATTGCCAAGTCGTTGTGCAATATTAAATCAATGTAACTTAACACAAGCAGTATTCCCTCACCTTTGTTTTACCACAGATGTCACAACACTAGACCCCTTCATTACTGCTTGCAACCCGTTATTCCGCCAAATTGCCACGAAAACCTGTCAGGCTGTTTGCGTTGTTCTTGCCAATGAAATTTCCCATCGGGGAGCCATAAAGCACTGAGCAGTTATCCCATTACTGAGATGTGATTCCACGTTAACCTTGTACAGTTTGGATTTAGAGTTGGGTCTGATCGTGTCCGTGCTCCCGTTCTCGAGATTTAAGTCCCTGATTGCATTATGGTTACAGTTGCTTGTATTCATGACAGCAAATATCGTAATCCTTGGTTCCTTTTAGTATATCCTTGAACCGATGAACTCAGTGACATATGACAACAATGTGTACTACTATCTTCAGGTATCTCAAAGTGCATAGATCCAGAAATGTGTAAAAAGGGGGTATTCCACAAAAAAACATAGTAAATTAGTCTTTTAGATTTAGGTTTTAGATCAGGTTTTAAAGGGCCAGCAATAAGCAAATTTCTTAAATAACGAACAATTTCTTAACAACAATTATACTTTTTTATAATTTTTAGTTTTTAGTAATTAGATACATCACAATACAATTAAAAAAAAAATCATAACATTTAACAAAGCTCACTGAGTAAAATGAATCAATAAACCGTGTTCCTGCAATGTAATATGATTCGAGGTCAAAATGTTTTATTCAGAGGCCGTTCTTTCTACAACCTTCTTACCAATAACACAAAACACTATCTTACCTATTATTTCGTTGCTGGTGTCTTTGATAGCAGCCATGGCCTTGTTTTTAATAGTGACTGTTTAGTGCAGAAAATAGGTATGTGCAAATTTAGGTTTTATATTTTGAAACTAGATACAAAATTATATATATATATATATATATATATATATATATATATATATATATATATATATTGTTTTTTATACTAGTTTTGTTTGAAAGGTCCCCAGCCCTAACAGAACTAGGAATCCAATAAATATTTGTCACATATAAATGAAAGGCTTTTAACTCGTCAGAGAGCTTTGGGGCTATCTTGTACATCTCACATTACAGTAAGACTTATAACTTTCTGTGTTGATCCAGTTTATATATTTTACATTTGTTGCTAAAAGACATTTTACAGAAAACTTACAGAACATTTACTTGAGTCATTAAGTCAGCGCATTATGAGTAAACTAACAAAATAAAGAAAAACATGATTGAAATCAGCCATTTTTATTGTTATTGCTACTAACAATTTCATTCATTCGTTGCTACAAGCAAGCCTTCATTGACTTATGCACTGGCATTCATAAGGATCAAAGCAGTCAATGAATGTGCTGACCTCCACATAGCGCATTCCCATTCCGACACACTTCCCCAGTGCACATTAACCATGTTGTGTAAAAAAAAGGCATCCGGGCAACAGTGGTTTTCAGCTGTTGCCTTCACAGCGCTCCCATTCTCATCCCCAACAATCTGGGCATTCATCTGTTGCAGAGAAAGGCTCATTTTCCCTGCTTTCCCAGTGGCAGTAAACACCACACGATGTCTGCTGCTCAAATCTAGAGAGCCGTGGAAATCAGTATAAATTAAGTGAACTAACCAAACATGAGCCTTGGCCGACTACTGACGTTTCTATAAAGTTTAATTTACGCCAAAAGCAAGACTGTAAAAGTTAGAATAGTTGCTGAGGGTGACTTCTGCAATTGCATTAATCGGACTAAATGTGCAATGTAGTGAACATCCAGGAACAAAAGGAACAGGCACCCCGTGGACTCAGAACTTGGCGGGAAGGTGGCGAGGTGGAGAAATAAATGAGCCTGAGTCATGTCAGGGAGATTGAGTTCACTAAAGTTACAAAGAATCTATAAATCATGTGGAAAATGTTCGCAGTTTTGCAAGAGTTTCAAAAACTTCGAGAAAAGGTTCAAGGTATGACACTTCATGATGGAATCTCAGACTAAGAAATGATTTATAGTAATAATAGAAATCCATAGGCCCACCGATATTGACCAACAAAAAAAACTCAATATTAGTCTGATTCCAGCAGCTGCAGTTGCCGCGGTTGTATCCCATCCCACCAATCAGCGAGCGCAGGAGGTGGGTGTTGTAGGTAGGTTTCGGTGACGTCAAGAGTTTTTGTCAAGTTTCCTAGTTGCAGTTTGGCAATGGCGACAAAAGCAACAGTAAAGTAAACCGTTCTGGTTCCGCTCCAAATATCAAGAGACAGAAGCCGGATCAAGAGGAATGTTTAGCAAATGTCATTGCTGCCAATCGTTTCAATCTGCAAGAGGAGATATCCCCTCCCACCTGTTAACGGAGCTCAATGTAGCAAATCCTCATTATCTTGACGCAAATTGATACTTTTGTTTTCTATCTTGGCATTTTAGAATTGATTATGATATATTCTATAAGTTTGCATAGGAAATCAATTCATTGCATGTTTAAGGTCATGTCTATGGTACTGTCAAAGGCTGCAGAAGAAATCTTTGCAGTATTGGTTTGCTCCTCTACCGTGCTCACTAAATACACATTCCTCTTGCTCCAGCATGCACTACTCAAGGACCTTCCTGCTCCCTCAGGCCTGAGGCAGTATCGGACTTTGTCTGTTGGCCGATCAGTACACAGAGCAGTTTGTCCTTGTGAAAAAAAATAGGAATGTTCACAGAAGAGTTTGAGAAACAAGAGATTGAACAAGGCTGTCTTCATATTTTGGAGGTTTAAAAAAAATGTGTATCAAAACAGAGCTGATAAGTAGTGATGGAATTCTGATTTTGGATACACAACAGGAGATGACAATGTTAAAAAGGTTATGACTGGTAACGATACATTTAGATCCAGACGGGTAAACTGCCACTGTCTGGCTGAAGAAGGCTAGAGGGCCTGCATGTTGTGGTCGGAATGGTTTCTTTTTTCAAGCATCGATATGTTCCTGACCCCCTCTTGCTCTATAGGCTTTATATAACTACAAGATTGTGCATGTTGTCATTGATTTAGCTGGGGTACATTGGCCTTGGTCCTGCGCTGTGTTAACCCAGCAGCCGTTTATATCAGTTCACATTAGTTTCACTTTAAACACAGACAAGTGACTTTTCTTGTTTTGGGTTTATTACAGAAGTATTAAACATGATTTTAAATGCATATATGTATTCTGTATAGAAGGTACAATATATCACATCTTCAATAATTCAATATTGGTTTTCTGAGGGAGTTGAAATGTATGGTGTATAATGCGGTATTCATAATAACACGAACAGACAAAAATGTCCAGACATATTTTATTTCAAGCGCTGTGAAATCTTTGAATAATCAACACGACCATGGAATTTAGCATAATGTACTTTATGCAAAGGGACTAGGACTCTCAAGATGTTATTTTGTTTACGGCAGAGAAAAGTTATACGCACAATGCAAAACTGAAACTCCATTACCTTGATGTTGCCACTTTGTCATAAAATAAATGGTTCTGAATGTGCACATATGTGAGTCTACAAAAAACAGCTCATTCTCACACATAACTCGTCCTTCCCTATTCACTTTAGAGCTTATCTTTCGCACCATGCAATTTATATGGAAAGCACTCCTAATGCATGACTGTTCCACATCTCCTAATGCAGAACACATGGCGCAGGAGATAATAAGATTTTACTAGGGTTAGGGTTAGGGTTATATGGTAATATAATATATGGTATACTATATAATTACTGGTATCACTAGTACTTATGGGTAAGTCCTTTGTCTTATTATGGGCCAGTTCCTATGGTAAGTACCTGGTACTTACTATATAATTACTGGTGTTATCACTGGTACTTATGTTAAAGTCCTTTGTCTTATTATGGGCCAGTCCCTATGGTAAGTACCTGGTACTTACTGTATAATTACTGGTGTTATCACTGGTACTTATGTTAAAGTCCTTTGTCTTATTATGGGCCAGTCCCTATGGTAAGTACCTGGTACTTGCTGTTAAGTACCTGGTACTTGCTGGTAAGTACCTGGTACTTGCTGGTAAGTACCTGGTACTTGGCTGGTAAGTACCTGGTAATGTGTAATTCTTGTTACTTGGGTTGGGTACCTAGTTCTTGCAGTGTTTCCCTTGTCCTTGAAACTTGTTTTGAAATATGCATTAAATGTATTTATACTGTCCTTTCTGTGCTACTTATTCCATATTAATAAAGACGTTTGTTTTACATAATGTTGTTTTATGTTTTATAGTCAAACAATCCTACAAATGACCTCTGTATGTATGTATGTAGAAGTACCACATTTACTACATAGGAATAATACTGTAGTGTCCTTGAATTACTAAGTTACAGCTGTATCTAGAATTATCACAATAAGTACCTAGAAGTACCACTGTAAGTACCACAATAAGTACCTCTAAGTACCACTGTAAGTACCTAGAAGTACCACTGTAAGTACCACAATAAGTACCTAGAAGTACCACTAGAAGTACCACTGTAAGTACCTAGAAGTACCTAGAAGTACCACTGTAAGTACCACTGTAAGTACCACTGTAAGTACCACTGTAAGTACCACCGTAAGTACCACCGTAAGTACCACCGTAAGTACCCCTGTAAGTACCACCGTAAGTACCACCGTAAGTACCACCGTAAGTACCACCGTAAGTACCACCGTAAGTACCACTGTAAGTACCACTGTAAGTACCACCGTAAGTACCACCGTAAGTACCACCGTAAGTACCACTGTAAGTACCACTGTAAGTACCACCGTAAGTACCACCGTAAGTACCACCGTAAGTACCACCGTAAGTACCACCGTAGATACCACTGTAAGTACCACTGTAAGTACCACTGTAAGTACCACCGTAAGTACCACCGTAAGTACCACCGTAAGTACCCCTGTAAGTACCACCGTAAGTACCACCGTAAGTACCACCGTAAGTACCACCGTAAGTACCACCGTAAGTACCACCGTAAGTACCACCGTAAGTACCACTGTAAGTACCTAGAAGTACCACTGTAAGTACCTAGAAGTACCACTGTAAGTACCATGGACTTACCGGCCCGTAATGTAAAGTGTTACCCAGTTTTTCTTTTTTATTCACTTCGGATCCAATTACAGAAAAACACTAGAGGTGTGCTATAATTGTAGATTTAAAAAAAACAAAAAGTAATGTGTAGACAGCCGCGCTGTGTTGACTGCAACATTTGGAAGCCCACAAGCTCTCTGCAAAAGCTTCTTTTGAACTTCGCAAACTTGTTAATATGAATGGGCAGCATTTCTCTGAATACATAATAGAAGTATTGTTAACAAAAGTTCTGTATTAGTAGCTTCAGAGCAGGTCTGGAAAGCAAACTACTTACAAGCTGAAAGTGATAAGAAGGTGAGTCTATGTATGATTCTGCTAAAATGACTTTCATTTTCATAGTTACAACTACACAACAAAATGGTTAGGAATATTATAAATGAGACAGGGTGCTACGGTATCTGCACTCGAGATACCTATGTGGCAGGAAAGTGCTCAGTAATTAGCTAACAATGAAGTCCACAGTCTGTACCAACAACCACACACTATAAGTGAAAAGGAAGAAGATTTCTGTCATTTTAAAAGTGGAGTGCCAAACAGCCGCTAGATAAGAACACACATACATGTATATACTTGTTTATGCTCATAGGCAGCCTTGACATCTATATTAAAACATCATATATACATAGTCCATGTTGATCTGTCAGTACAGTGCTTCCACACATAACAAACCCCGCTCTCCTTTGCAGGACCAGTTAGCAGCAGTCTTCGCTCCTTTGGTCACTGATGTTACACTCACAAACCTTTGGAGTTTGTTGTGGAAGATGGAAGGGCCTTGAAATTCAGATTGCATCATATTCTGTGTGTGTTAAATGGAGTGTCAGGCTGCATTAAGCTGAATCACTTATGCTGAATGCGGTCTATTCATATGCTAAAGTGGTGCTAGGTGCGTGTTTGTGAGGCATGAATTTGAGCATCTGCATAGTGAAGATAGGAAGGAACAACTACTTTGGTGAGAGAAATAACACGGAGACGGACGCACGAGAGAGGCACCCAAGGGCCCTGCTGTGTACTTTTTGCAGGCAGTTTTTAAATGTCCGTACAGTGGAGGAGAGAAAGTAGTAAGACTGGAGCTGGGTTTGTATGTGGTATATTACATTCGAAAAGTAAGATTCAGCGGGGGGAATTTACTGTATAATAAGCAATAAGAAGATGCATTGTGTTTGCTTTTGCTGACATCAGTTATTCTTCACATACAGTAATGAACGTGTGCATATTTGTAGAGTCCAGTCTGTATACATATTTTATTCATCTAGTAAGCAATAGTGAACTCTTTTTTTCCAATATTAGAGGACTATGTAATAAAAAAAAAAATCAAAGCAAGTCCCAATAGCAGTGTGGCATGTGCATGTGATTGCGGAATGACAAGGATAGTCAAGTGTATTTGAATGGCATCTGTTTGTTTTAGTCAAGATTAAAATACAATTTACTCAACTATATTCATATACGTGTTTTAAAAAATTCTCGAATAATTACATATATAAATGAATAAATACAATTTAAGTTCTCCTTTGAAGAACCAACCTTCAATTTAGAAAAATCCTGGTTATTCTCATAAATTCCTCCCATGGAAACGTTGCAACCCTATACAGGAGAGTGTTGGAAACAAAGACCTGTCAATCAAGTGCTTACACGTTGGCCTCCCTCTTCACCATAATGCAAAGGTTTTTATGTGACCTTGGTCTGTACAATGTGCTGTATAAAGACGACTCACTCACTGTAAACCCTAACTTCAATCATACTTCAGATATCAAAGTTATTTAAATAGATTTTTCCCAGTAAGTGAATATTACACATTTATTGTTAGTTTATCTAAAGCTTGCCTATGTCACTCAGGGTTTTCTTTGAATTGAACCGTCTCTGTTCAAGTAAGCCTCACTTTTGACATTTTGACGTGTAGACTCTTTAATAAAACAGGTGTATCAATGACAGAGTGGCCTGGTGGCTGAGTAGGTACCACCATCACCTCTCAACTACAACATTCTGAGTATGATTCCCGGTCGGAGCATAGTTTGAAATTTAAACTTTATTGCAATCACTTGAGTTTACTTGGAAATATCCAGTAAAGGATGTACTCGAGGAATTCAAGTGAAGTTAATATGCAATTTATTTCCAAGGTTTTTTCAAGTAAACTTTACTTGTCAGGGTTTTTAGTGCTTCCTTGCGTTCAATAACGACCACAAAACTGTGTCCTTCCCACCTTCAGAACTGTTACATTACCGTACATAACTTTACAATAATATTACTTGTTTGTTCTAGTCTAAGTGGAGAAAGTATAATGTGAAAGCTGTGATGTTGAAAAATGTGGGAATGACCAAACTCATTGCCTCTTACCACCGATCGACACTTCCTGATGTCATTAAAGGACTCACCCCATTGGTCTAAGATTAATCCCTGTGAAATTTAAATAGTGCTGGCTAAGTGAAGATAAGGGGCTAAATCTATTTTTATGACCGATGACTTGCTTAATAGTAAAAACAGGGCTTGTATGAAATGCTGAACTATAGATGAAACTCCTTCTGTTTCCCAGCGCACTAATAACGCTAACCACACAGCTAATTTGCTAACTATTTACAAGTACCATATGCAGCCTCACTTTATAAAATCCCTTAACATCCATTTAATTCTCTCCACGTCCAATGACAATTTCAAACTTATTAGCGCGGCTGTCATCTCATAAACCCTTTCCCCAGCAGAACGGTGCTTAAGCTGCCACATAGAAATGCTAATTTAGAAAAAGTGCCACCAAACACATTCACATTAGAGCATTTTATTCCCAACGATTCCCACTGGTTTGAATCTGTTAATAAGCAAGTCAACGCGACGACAGAACACTGCGATTCACAGTCAGGGTGTCATTTGTGGGGAGATACATGTTGGAATAAACTATCAAAATGCTGTATTATCATTTAAAAGCTCCCACAGCGCTCGCCTGCTGGAGGACAGAGAACACTGCGAAAGTTAGCGTTGACTGACGTGACACGGCACTGCAGTTACAGCCGTTTTTTCTTGTCATTCACAACAATTGTTTTTGGGGTGATTTTTACCCTGCATATATGATGAATTGTGCTACACGAATAACCTTGAGTTTTGGGTTATTCATATTTTTCTGCAACACCCACACATCACGACTGCTGTTTTCACTTATACTTATACTTCTTGTTCTTAATTTTCTTTTGCCAGCATTGCACAGGCCGTTCGCTCAAACAAAAAAAGACACTATTTGCTAACTTCATCCGTAGTGGAGCGGGTTCTTTGTTCTGACCGTGTTTCCAATGACTTTGCGTCAAGGGGAAGAGCATATATCCGTCTGCCGCAACTGAATACAGAAGAGAATTTAAGCTAAATTATGATATTTTGATTGTTCAAAATATACGAGGAAGTAAATTTTGTGAGCAGGGATTGGGAATTTGGGATTAGTTTTTGCTTAATCCAACCCCTATTCCAAATCTGGTACTTTTATCTATGTATATCTGTTTTGGTGTTTAGGCTGATGCAAAAATGAAATTAATAATTTAATCTGATCCATCCAAATACTATGGGTAGATGTGATTTATTACCATTATTATTTGTTTATTTGTATATCCACAAGTGCTAAGCAAAACAAGAAAAGAAACATCAAACCACAGTCTATTAAAAAGAGAATTGGTATAAAATCCTTCTAAAACAAAACTTCATTCAGACTTGTGGACCAGAATCCTTGTCCATTATTAGTCATAACCGTGATCACTAATATGTGTTCATAGGTGCCAAATATAATTCCCCCCACATTTGCTTATAAATAGAAAAAACAATTCATTCAGGGCCTAGGTAAAACGCAGCAACAGGAAATCTCATTTACCCTGACGCTAATTATAATCAACTTCCTCTGTAGAAATAACATTGTCTGGTTCCGTTCAATCAATACAGACCCACTGTGCACTGCTGCAATCAGGCTGATGGGGTTCACAACGCGTGGTGGAGGATACAGAATCACAGGCAAGTTTGCAACAGAAACTATTGAAATATTAGTATGAACCTTGGAGATGGATCATACCAACGGAGATGTGTGCGCTAATTGGAGATACTGAGCTATTGTAAGGTCACCATAAGACCTCCACTGACGGCCAGTCATGTCTGCCGTCGTTGTGTCATTGGGCAAGACATTTAACCCCACTTTGCCTGAAGTCCCCACTGAAATATTGAAATTTCCCCACTGTGGGTCGAGTAAAGGATCTCTTATCTTATCTTATATCAAGGCTATGCTCTCAATGACAGAGCAGCCATCCTCCTGCAGACTCACCACCTGCAGGAGGATCAGGCTGATGGATTGGGTGCAGCTCCTTTTGCCACCCCCCTGGACCAGAAATGGATTAAGGGGAAGAAAACAGATGGATGGATGTATCACATTTGAGTACTATTGGACGTTTTAGGGTAAGACAATTGTGATGAATGCAAAATGAATCCTCACAGTATCTAATAGTTGTTACTTTTCAAACAGTAAAGACAGATTTACACTTTTTGAAAACAAGCAGTGGTAAGAACGGCATTCTCACCTCATTAACTTCCTGATTGGTGGAAAATAATTGTAATCCTTGAGGCCTCTTGTCATTGGTTTAACTATTCTCCTCAATCTTACTGGTCGTAGTTATGCCCAGGGGAGAGACTATTTTAACTAATTGTTATTGTTGGAACATATTTACAACATAATATTACGGTGTCACATGGTCAGTATATATACATTCTTTATTTCTTTTAAACATGAAATACAATTTAAGTTGCTGATGTCACCTTTTCAAATGTCAAATTAGTATTGACATTTCTCACCTTTACAAATTATGTCCATGGATAGGATTTTTTTATAGTTGCCCACGCTACTTCTCTCCTTTGCTGACACTGTTGTTCTGTAGTTACTTGTATAATAAATAATACAATGGGCCCATCTTTGTAACAAGTT